CTCCTCACCTGTACTTACCTGTCTGCCCTCCACCGCATGCGGCCTCCTCATCTCCAACAAAGAACCCGTTCTATCAAGAACTCACTGGAACCTGAATCACTTCGCCCACAGTATCTCCTCTTTGGTTAAAGTCTCCTTCTAAAACAAGTAAGATCTTTCTGGTTGTTTCAAAGATTCCATTTTTCCAACGACCTCAAACTCACCATTTTCCTCTCACTACTCTTCAGAAAACAGACCTCCCAAGGACCAGACTCAGATTCTCACATTCTCATCATTGTTGAAATAAACTTTATTTATCTGATTATCTATTCTCCTGGTAGTGTTCTCTGTATGTGGGTAAAGAAACTGGAACCCAACATGACATTTATAATATCTTGCAAAAGGAATCTGTCCTCTTAATATGTTCCATTTTCTCAGCTCTAATCCACAAACCTCAGTGTGTTTCATTTGGGCCATCTTTATGCAACAGGAAGCAATGGTAAAGTTGAAAATAGCTGTGACAGCGATCCAGATTCCACCTGACATGGCAATGGCTCAATCTAGTGGACAATAAAAGGAACAGCAAGCATCCCAAAGAAGAATTTTTTTGGGTTGAACACACAAAATGTCCATCACTGCAAGGAAGGTCAGCTACTTTGGCCTTTTGACCAAACATTTTACACATGCTTAAAGCAAAAGTTTAAAACAAATGTAAAAAGAAAACATTCTGTACCATGGTTGGTCAACCGTCTTGTATCCAGGACCAGAAGGAAAAAATGCAGCACAAGAGAAAACAAACACTTTAATTGCAACAACACAATTTAAAGTCATACTGAACTTTGGAGTACACAAAAAAGAGCAATTACAATATTAAAACTTCAAACACTGAAATTTTTACTACAACACCACAGTCAAACAAATTAAAATAAAAATTTTAACTGATACATTATTGAATAGAACATTGTAAAAATAAGACTAAACTATTTCTCTTGGGGGGAGGTGAGCCAACCTCACCCATCCAGCTAAGATCATCCCTGGCCTTCCAACCCTAAATGAGTGCTGCCTCACCCCATGGTCCACGTAGATATCCTCTCCCAGCTTGATGTCTCTAGTTGTTTTTATTAGGAGAAATGGGTCTGCCAGGCCTGGGAACTTCACTAACAGACATTTGGTGTAGAAGTTTTTGCCAGAAAGGTTAATTGGTCAGCCAAACATGGCGAGTTGCGGATGACTGTCACACAGGTGGACTTGAGAGTTTATGCAGAAGTCCTTGGTCCCCAGACTTGAAAAAGTAAATCTATGCATCTTGTCCCGCCTTCAGGGACCCCTCAAGCTGTCAGCCTTGGCAGCAATAGTGAATATTCCATGGTAGTCACATGCGATGGACCCCTTGATGAAAGTCCTGGTCCCAGAGACATGTGGAAAAAAATTATGTATGAATTTATTATTATTGTAATTACAGAAGTGTCAGTTTCCAAAACAAGATCCAGGAACCGGCACTTGATATCCACCCACCTCTTCTGCTGACAATCTTCTTGCTCTCCGAAATAACAAGTCCCATTCACCTCTGGTCCTGGATGTGGCACATAAAGTCCTGGCTGGCTTTTGGGGTGCGGTGGATAGCGCTGTGCAGATCTCCAGGACCTCCTCTGCAGTGTTACAGTTCCCAGTTCAGTTGGACTTTGCAATGAAGCTCTCCACCTTGGCCAATATAGAAACTACCCATGCATGTGGTTAGAGCTGAATATAATGTGCCCTGCATCAGAACCTGGTACGGTAGGGTCAGTAAGAGGAGGAAAACAAAACAAAAAAAAAACTAAATCAGATGGTACCGCCTTGTTTAACACTGAATCAGCTGCCACTTGTCAAAGAGGCTCCTTGTCGGGGGGAATCTGGCCTCCACTTTATTTTTAGGAGGCATCATTCAGGGTTATCCTAAAAGACTTGAGAAAAGTGCCCAAGTCTGTGTATCCCTCACAGCTTCGCCTCCACCTTTTGGGCCTCAGAGCATTGTCTGTGGAGCTAAAGGAGATAAATACATTAAACACATCACCAAACACAAACATGGCCACCCCGAGATCAAATACACACACCCTGCTTAGCTTTAGGTTTCCGCTCTGAGCTTCTACAGGATGCAGGATTATTGCTTGTTTCCTATTCTGAAGATTGGAATTTTGATTGTGTTGTCCTTTTTTTATCACGTTCTTTTATTTCCTTTTTAATTTCTTTATTTTCTAACTCAGTGTTTCTGACATGAAGCTTGATTCAGTCTTTATTCTCACTTGTGAGGCCTGCAAAGCGCTGGAACGGTTCAATGAGATGAGAACTACAAACATGTCCACGAGTTTTACCCAGAATGCACTGCAGTTACGTGATTGCTCCTCTGAAGGCTGACTGCTGTCTTTAAAACTGCTTTTTCACCAAGCTCTCTTAATTCTTTGCAGATTCATTTTCCTGATGGGAAGCTTGATACAGCTTTTAATTTCACTTCTGAGCTTCTGCCGAGGGCTGGAACTACACAATCAGATTTGGACTACAAACATGTCTGCTTCATTTACTCATCATGTTTAGCGGTCCGGACTTTAAATTAGCTTCTAGTTTGACTGTTTTGATGCAAACCCTGTTAAACTTTGTAACACTGCATTCAGTATGAACTTCTCTTTTAAACTATATGGGTCAGAATGAGCTTTAAAATGATTTGGGGATCGGCGAAGAACCGAACAGAAAATCAGACTTGAACTACAAACATGCCCGCTGTATTTCCCAGCATACTTTTGAGGTTGGGCCTTTAAATCGGCTTCTAGCTTACTGGCCTTTGATAAAAACCCTGACAAACTATATACTGTTGAAATAAGCATGAGCGCCTCTTTCGGACTGGATGAGTTAAAACAAGCTTTGAAAAGAATTGGAGATCGGCGAAGAACCCGAACAGACTATCAGACTTGGACTATATGGCCGCTGAACTTGCCCAGAGTACATTATGGGTCCTTCTTTATTACGTACTACAGCTGCACGCTGCCATTTTGATCAGATAGAACGAATGTGCCTACAGCTGAACTGCTGTGGCTAATGCTGGGTAAGTCTTCTCCGTTTTCAGTCATTTAACCTTCTTTTGGGACCACTTAACCTTCTTTTGGGACCACTATCCTTTGCCTAAAAAGCAAAGGATAGAAGAATAAAGCTTGATTTAACTCAGTTTAAAAGCAGATTTTGGTGTTCTCTTCGAAATAAAGGTTTGATTTATTCTGCATTAACCTGATTTCAATTCCTGATTCATCTTTGGAGAATGAAAGGGGGTTCCTCAATAAACCTGTTTAAGACTTCACACATGATCCTGCACGAATATAAAAAGCTCAGTCTCAATTTCATTTAACTCGATTTAACTCTTCTTTTTGTCTCGGACACACAGCATGGCTTGATCAACCATGACTGGGCTCTCCTTAGGTAGGGTGTCGAGCGACGCTTTCCAGGGCACGGGCCCCTCTCTCGGAGCAAACCCATTCCAGGGCGCCCTGCCCTTCACAAAGAAAAGAGAACTCTCCCCGGGGCTCCCGCCAGCTTCTCCGGGTTCGTTTGCGTTACTGCACTGGGCGCCTCATGACGCCTATCTCTGCCGCTACAGGTTTGGGGATCTGAACCAAACTCCCTTTCGATCGGCTGGGGCCACCGAGGCCATCGCCCAGCGCTTCTGAATGGTGTTCGCCCATCCCGTAGGACCGGCTGACCAATGTTAAACTGCTGTTCACATGGAACCCTTCTCCATTTCGGCCTTCAAAGCTCTCTTTTGAGTATTTGCTACTACCACCAAGATCTGCACCCGCGGCGGCTCCACCCGGGCTCGCGCCCCAGGCTTCCGTGCTCACCGTGGCCTAGTCCTCATGGCTCTGGTTGCCGGCGGTGGCTGAGTAACACTCCACTTTAACGTCTGTCTGCTTAATACAAAATGTCCCAGTTAAAAGCAAATGGGGATAATCTAGTTGTGTTTCATGTTATTTTGCTCAATTAAAACAACACAGCACAATTTTTAAAGAACTGCTTATTAACTTGACCAGAGATTTCACTTGTATTAAATGATAGCACACAATACTCGCATCTTCCTTTTGCTGATCAGATTGGTGTGTTTGATTTATGGACTACGACATTTTACACAAGTGGTCCACAGACATAAAAAATTTCACTTGGACTAGGATAGGACGAACAATAAATCACTTATCATTTTTAAACTTTAAAATAAAAACTGGGAAACACTGCAGGATGGTGAATTTGTAATTTAAGCGAAATCAAAACCTGATAAAAGTGCAGGTAGGCCTGTCACGATAACAAATTTTGTTGAGCGATTAATAGTCCAAAAAATCATTGCGATAAACGATAATATTGTTTCAAGACCTTTTGACACTGATTTAATGGAAATTACATAATAATGCATACAATTTTCTGCCATAGATAGATGCACTTTATTTTCAAAAGAACACATAACACTGGAACTGATAAACAACCAAAAACAAAAATGAAATGGATTCTCAGTTTCCACTAACAAAAAACGTACTTGAATAAAAACTAAACAACATAAAGCCAAAGTGGAAATAAATACTGCATTCAACCAAAAGAGTGCAGATTATGAAGTCTGTATGTGCCCTTCAGTAATCACTAGATTTAAATAGAGAAGATGGGCACATCCTGTCGCAATAGTTCACACTACACGATTTTTTGGATTCTAGTAAAGCATTGATTAATGCCTGATTTTAAAATTAGTTAACTGGACTTGTAGCCATTATTTTGTGCCCATGTGGCTGGAAACCACACGGCACGACGAACCCGATCGAACCGTTATACCGAGGATTTCTGTCGGCTAATGGTGGTCTCTCAAGTTTTCAAAATGGGCTGACAACTCGTGTGTGTGAGCTGGACATTACACTAAGGACATGATGAAGGGAGGGTCAGTGGAGAGCACCGGAGTTGAGCCTTTTTTCATTCAGTGTCATCAACAGAAAGAAAAAAAAAAGCAGTAAGAGACCATAAAGCCGATAATTAAAATGAGGTCGATAGGTTTATTTTATCGTGCGATTAATTGATTTATCGTTTATCGACAGGCCTAAGTGCAGGAAATAATTACTAATTTGTTCAAAAGAAAAGAGAGTGATGCTGAAGTTATTTCTATTAAAAAATTGCACTGACATGCAAATAGTTACTAATATTAAAAGTAACAAGTACCTTATTACAATTTCACTTTAGTTCCTTTTTTATTAGCAAAAGTTCTGCTCATCACAAAGGAAATGAGAATATATTGACATCAAACTGTTTTTATTTAAAGGAGCAAATTTATACATAAAAAAGCAACACAAACTATTATCTGTATTTTTTAACCTAAAACCAGGTTGGTTCAGATAACTTCTTCATAATGATTTGAAACCTGCTTTTTGTATTTAGAAGAAATTGGCAAGAGGAAACACTTTTTCATGAAACAGTTTGAAGAATCTTAAAATAGAAAAAACAGTTTTATTGCTTCCTTTCTGTTTGCATGGAACAGCTTAACTTGCAAAAAAAACTGTTGTGAACCTCCTATTAAGGCATTGTGGAGTTAAAGCCTGGAAGAACTGGTGCCCATTCAGGATATGTGTCAAGAGAGAAGAGCGGAACCCCCCATGTTGCCACTGCCAAAAGGACTGCTAGAAGTCCAATCACGTTGACACCAAGACCTGCCTTCACCTGTAACAGAGAAAGGCAAGGGACTCCTGTCATCTCTTTGATTTGTACCCCTCATTGTGTGTAGGGTTCAAATGTTTGAGCTTCTTTTTATGCTTCTGGACTCACCATGTCCATGACGGTGATGTGACCATAGGCAAATACAACAGCATTGGATGGATTGGACACTGGCAGCAGAAAGGAAAAGGATGTGCACAGTGTGGTAGGGATGAGGACATATAATGGGTTAACATGGATGGCCTCTGCCTGAAACAAGACCAATCACAAACACAGGCTACTTGAGAACTCATGTTATATCTTGTCTATATCAATCATCAAACAGTCTGGATTCTTCAATCAAACTGTAACATCTCAAAATAAATGTGAAACTGTTGAGAATAAAAGATGAGTTTCCAGACAATTTTTGGTTGTTTGCGTGTGCTTATATACTAGTATCATTTTTGTTCTTATTGATAAATGTATGTCTTCACTACACTGTGTAGGAAAAGAAAGAAAAATAAAAAAATAGGAACTAGAGTTTAAATTGATAGGCACTGACCACAAAAACAAATATACTGGATTTTAAAACAAATATTTTGCAAATATTTTGCTGAATTAGTAATTTGCTAATCTCTCCAATAAAAATAACTTTTAGTAAGAATAAAAAGAATGATTTTTATCTGACTGATACTTTATAAGATTACACAGACTGTGTACTTTCAAGATGGGTCAGTCCACAGACTGCATGTACAACACAGAACAAGATGGCCTACCAGAGGAGAGAGAATGGGGAGGAAGATGGTGATGGTCGCAGCATTGCTGGCCACCTCTGTCAGCGTGGTTACAATGATACAGGCAACTGTGACAGTGGCCAAGACTGGCATATCACCCAGAGGCATCAGCAGTTCAGCCACCCATAGGGACATACCTGACTCCTGCAGAAACACACAGCAGCTTTTTTTTACTAAACAGATTGGTCATAAAACTGAAAACAACTGCTTTCTGTCATTCATAAACGACAGATCAAGCAATTGAGATCCTGCATATTCGCAAGCTTTCATAAACTAATTAGGCATCACAAAACCATGTTTGATTTAGAGCAAATTTCATTAGGGTTAAGAAAGTTCCCAAAAAATTAAACACATCAGCTGCATGTGACACCTAACACTGGACAATAAATTAATTGCAATACAGATGTGATCTACTGATAACATGTCTGATAGAATATTCAATAATTTCACTGAAGTCTGATCAAGTATTCTGGGGATGTAGGCAGAGGGAATGCTTTAACCACTTAACCCAGGGTTGCCCAGTCGGTCCTCGAGGACCGGCATCCTGCATGTTTTAGTTCTCTCCCTGGTTTAACGCACCTGGATCAAATGATGACTCATTAGAGGCCTAAAAAGAATACTGAAATGGTTGTTACTACCACCAGGGAGAGAACTAAAACATACAGGATGCCGGCCCTCGAGGACCGGCTTTGGACACCAATGACTTAACCTCTCATAGCCAGCTAAGTGAGATAGTTGATGTCACCAAATTTGACATAAAGTTATGGGATATTTATGACATAAATTCTCCAAATTCACCAAATTTGGTGACATCAACCACTCTTTGGTTACCTAGCAATAAAATGTTAAATGACTTGAAAAGCTCACTTTCATGGTGTCGCCACCATACACTGTAAAACTAAAGTCAGTAAAATTAATAGTAAAATTCTGTAAAATATTGTTTTTGCCATTTTTGTCTTGGGGAACACGTGATTCAAATGCATTTGGTCATGTTTTTGACTCTCCCCTTAGCTAAGTCCTTATTTATGTGACTTAATTTACTTGTTGTAAAATGTTTTAGCAATATTTTGCATATTTTATTGTTTCAAAATAAGCTTCACTTTGTAGCACTGAGGATTAAATATAATTTCTTAATGTAGTATAATTAATTATTTTTGAAAGTGGAAAATACGATGAGTTTTTATGCCTTTCATACTGCTGCTAATTGATATTAAGAAAATAAATTTAAAATAAGCTAGTTTTAAAACTTAACATGTCTTGATTCAAATGGCCTAAATTGTGGTTTTAAATCAGTAACTTATTCTGGCCTGTTGACCTTTATTTTACTTGTAGTTACAGCAGATGGTTTGCTAGGATTGTTTGAACTGCCTTTTGTCTGTGTGGGAAAACAATACAGTAGAAGTTCTAGCTTTTCACACTCATCTGTGAAAAGCCGTAAAACAGCAGGAGTTCCTGGCTTGAGAGAGGGTCAGAGATAGCTCCTGGTTGGATGAGCAAAGATACGCCTTATTTGAATAAATTAAAAATAAGAATACGCCTTCACTATAAAACTTTCTACACAGAAGAAACAAATTAGATTTGCTCTTGCAATTCTCAAAAGAAGTCTTTGGATGTCTTTGCTTTTCTTTCTTTCCTTCTTCTTTCCATTTATGTTAGGTAAATGAATATATGTCTCTGTTATTCTGCAGTTTCTGTTGTAATTTTATGCTTTGTCTTCTATTGGATTAAACTGTAATTCTGTGACGTCAACCCGCACTGCTGTTTTATTCTGAGTGACTACACGTGGCCGTCGCGAGAGGACCCAGGATCATAAAGGAAGAGAGAGAGAGCCAAACTTTTTCCAAAATTAAGTAATTCATAACAATCTTCCTTAACAATATGTCTTACTGGATTGGACAGCACCTATTAGTCGCTATGAGTTATGTCCAGAAAACCATTCTATTCCAATGCAGGATGAGAAGAAAACTGTCACAAAAATATTAGTAGTGCCATCATTTATTATCAGATATATCTATTTAATATGACTTAAAATAAAGATGAGAAAACTGATGTTTGATACATAAATTCTCCCTGATACAAATCTATAAACAGTTTGGTTTCTGTTAGTTCTGTCAAGATGCAAAAAGGGGCAAATTTCTCTTATATTGGTCGGTCATTTTATTTTAAATATGCTGTAGGAGCCATTTTGATGACTGTTATACATATCACCACGTTTTATGAACAAAGGAGGGAATTAGTTCAGTTTTTGTCGCTTGTTTAGCTTTTAGAATTTGCAGCAGCTGCAGTGCGCCGCAATAAAGGTACAATAAAGCTGATAAACAGGTGAAGAACAGAACTTCATCTGTTTCACCCTTTTATCAAAAAAAAAAAAAAACACTTCTATTCTGCTTTTTCTCACTCCATGTCAGCATTACCCTACACGTGGATCCATTGCCATAGCAACTGACAGAAAACAACTGTCACAGCTGCTGCTAAGCCGTGGCCACTCACACTTGATCATCATCACCCTGATCTCCAGCTGCAGCCATAAAAGGACAGATCTTCCCCCTGCACAGCGTCAGATTGTTGTGAAACCCTCAGCAGTAATACCTTCAGGCCTGCTGTAGCTACTTGAGCGAATTGCCTGGTTACTAACCTGTCTGTCTCTTCCTCCTGCCCAGTTGCCTCTCCTGTTCCTGATCCTGACCTTCTCTACTGGATTTGGACCTCATGGGTTTGACCGCCTGTCTATCTGACCCTGAGATCAGAAACGGCCTGACACCGATTTGGATTCCCTGGTTCTATCAGGGAATCAACTTATTCTCTCACTGAGAATAAGTTGATTCCCTAATAAACACCTGTTTTGTATTCACTGTTCAGTCCCTGCGTCCATCAGCGCCTAGACTGTGTCAACAACTCAACAAGCAGATAAAGCAGAGATACGTTTAAACCTCAGGACATTCAGTCTGTTTATGTTGTCAGGCTTGATGTCTATATTGCCATTATTAATACATTTTCACCTGAACACAGTGGTGGTTGATTAGTTGATTTAAACCACATGTGTCAAACTCAAGGCCCGCGGGCCACATGTGGCCCGCCATGTCATTTTATGTGGCCCCCGCAGCATTTTATAGGCCGACATTGACTTAAAATAGGTTTTGAGCACGAATTGACTACAAACTATAATAATGCATTCCGATTGTTACTAGCCAACATTACGGCATCTCGCCACTAGAGAGCAGCAGAGTCACCTTAAGCTGCTTATTGATTTTACCAGCGAATAAAACTGAGACTTCGACATGCTAACATCAAAACGTCCAAGAAAAGAAAAATCGATCTTCAGGGCGGCAGGTCGTGCTAGACTTTTTTTGTTATCCGTTATCTTGACCGACAACATTAAAAAAAATAAAATAAAATAAAAAATTGGCCCTGTACTATTTTTATCCATGAAATTATAATCATATTAACATCGGCTATTTAGCCGCATTTTATGCGGTTTAGTGAATATTCACCGTGAATCCTGATCCCATCACAAATTAAGCAGATAAATGCATCTACATTTTTCTC